GGGGTCCAATTCTATGGGCCCCCAAACAGGTTGCCCCCATCCCTCCATTGTTCTCTATGGTGGGAAAAAAAGTATGGAGGGATGGGGGCAACCTGTTTGGGGGCCCATAGAATTGGACCCCCTGGTCCAATCTTCTTGATATTTGGTGGGCATGTTGGGGAGAGGTTCCAGTAACCACCCTCCAAGTTTGGAGCCTCTCCCTCTAACCCCCCCCAGGGGTCTGCAAAAAGGAAAGCAGAAGGTTAAAATCCCATTGAAATGCATTGCCGCTGAATTTCGGCGGCAAACCGGGAATACAGCAAGCTGATCTGGGGGGACTGGGGGCACCCTCTTTGGATGCCCCTGGAATCGGACCCCCTGGACCAATCTTCTCGAAACTTTGGGGGTCTTTCGGGGAGAGACATGAGCAGCCACGGTCCAAATTTGGAGGCTCTACCCCCTCCCCCCAGCCCCCCGCAAAGTTTCAAGAGGTTTTTTGCCATTGACTTCAATGGCCCCATTGGTTATAATGGACCCGAATTTTTCGGGTTTTCCGAAAATTTTCGGATATCTATGGTTTACCGGTATAGAAATTCGGGTTTTTTCGGGTTTCCCAAAAAAATTCAGGTTCAATAAACCCGAATCCGAATTTTACCGAATTTTTTTTTTTGCACACCCCTACTCTTTATAAAGTATTTCCTTTTGTCCATCCTGAACCATCCTAGCTTCATTGGATGCCCTCAAATTCTAGTTATTTTGGGCAAAGGAGAACATTTTTTTGCCCACTCTCTGCACCCCATGCATAATTTTAGAAACCTCTATCCTGTCCCCCCTTAGCTGTCTCTTTTCTTAACTGTGAAGCCCCAGACTCTTCAGCCTTCCCTCCTAGGGAAGGTGCTCCAATCCCCCAGTCATCTTGGTTGCCCTCCTCCGTACCTGTTCCAGCTCTGCAATGTCCTTTTGTGGCCCCTCCACACAGTGGCCTATCCCTGCCTGAAAACATCTGTGGGCAGCTAAGAAAGGACCTTCTATTGCAGAAGACCATAAAGTGAATGGCAGCCACATTGCACATGAGGGACATCCCTAGAGCACCCCCCAAAAAGACTTGCGCAAGTCACCATCATACATCATGTTCATTGCCTGAGCATCAAGTACCCAACTTAAGAAGCCTAAAGAAACTCCCTGGCCCTTTCCCAGAATTCTGACTTCAGGAAAATAATTGGGTTTTGAAGTAGAAGATCCAGGAATCCCCTGGACAGCCTCTGCTCACTTCCCTTCAAATCCACTGAAAGAACCTTGGAATTATCAGGTTTAGTGAAGTGTACAAAGTTAAGAGTATCCCTGTGCAGAATGTAGAACAGATTTTGATGCAAGTGTGTACAGAAAGCCTGTTTCTAGTGGCAATTTGTGTGTGTGTGTGTTTATTTCCAATAGACCAGAGGTCTAAAGATTCTGTGTGGGCCCCCCCCCCACCTACCAGTAAAATCAGGTCTGGAAATTGGACTGGCTTGTCTTTTACTTTACAACCAGTATGTGAAAAACCTCAATTCAGGAGGGACAGAAAGGAACACAGATTTATAAATTAGCAGAATTAAAGTACAATCCTCTGGTGGAATAGTTTATTAAGCAAGTATAAAAGCAGAAGCTGGAACAGTGTAAAAAACTTGCAGAACATATTTACAGAAAGACAGAAAGAACGATAAACCTTGGTGTTGTCCAAAAGGCTACTGAAAGCTCTTGGCATCTTGTTGGAAAAGCAGACCCACTGTGTTTCTAATGAACAAGACCCTTCCCTCTCCTTCTGCATGGGAAGGCACGCATGGTCACCCCCTCCCGTATCTTTTCTCACATAAGTTAAGCACCAGATTTTGAGGCCTCTCGCCAGAACAGCCTGTGTTTTTTAAGGTCAGGGAGAAAGGGGAGGAAGCTCTTTGCCTCTCCATCTGGTAAAGTTAGCTTGACATATTCATATTTACATACAGTTGTGCCATCTCCTAGCGCATTTGAGCAGACGGGCAATGTTGAAAGATGGACATCTTGCTTTATTTTCATATCTCATCCTCTGACTCCTCCAGATATTGGACAGGCTTCCTAGCCCGCCCTGGCCTTTGACAGTGTATGGGTGCAGCAGGCAAGTCATCATCAGAGCCCAGATCGATAGAGAAGGACTCATCTGCTGCCTTGGATTTCTGAAAAAGAAAACAGGGCCACAGTAAGCTCTTGATGGGTGAACCTGAACACACAAGCCTGAGGAGGGACATAACTGTCCTTATACAGGGGGCAAAGGGTGACCATTTTACTCTAGGCGGATTTAATTAAGAATGAATGCACTGCTCCCTAAAAAGCATTAACAATCTCTCTTTCCTTGGCCTATAAGCATTCTAAGGTGGCCAAGCATTACACACATGAGAAAGAGCCACACAGGATCATGGCCTAGGGTACCCTGTAACGTTGTAAGTCAGTTGAAAGCAAAACTTTCATAATTTATAAGCCTCCCAGATTCCTTAAGAGGCGTGATGCTCATTTAGTGGCTTGGGAAGCCACCTGTGTGTCAGCTAGGCCTCTGTTGGTCCTGGCTGCCATGGGAATGGGGGGAGGCTATGGAATGTTGAGTTTCATTTCTGCTGTGCCTTCTGTGTTTCTATTATCTCTCTGTAACCTTGAATGCTTGGTGTAGCCTCTCTCTTGGGAAATATAATCCGTTACTTTGGCAGGCTCCTACCTGCAGCCTGATTGGCCATGGGCCATCAGGGGACCCCCTTTAATATTGTATAATTGCTTGCTTTGCACCCTTCCCTTTAGTTCTAACACAAAATGGTTAAGATATCTGCATACTCTCAGGGGGTGCGGTCAGACGGCATGCTGAGAGCGGGTTAAACTGCTCCAGTTCTAACCGGATTATATTTGATCTGGATAATTGCGATCACACTTACCTTCCTTATCCTGCCTCACCACGCAGTCAGGTTGCTCCCTGGCGTCTACACTACCGACGTGCGGGAGTGTGTGTCGGCGGTTTTTAATCCCCCCCCCTCAGTTTGCACATGCGCATAGATGCTCATCCGTAGAAGGGGGGGGGGACGGACGGACTACCATGGCACATGCCCAGAACCACCAGGGCGAATCAATCCAACCCCTCCAACAAAAGACTTCCCTTTAAACGTTTGACCCGAAAATGGCCTCCGTGAGATCCCAAACTCATCTAAACTCTAAAACAAGTGACTGTTTAAATGTTGGTTTTCTAAACATGGTAGCGGAGCTCCGCCTATGCGCGCACCGCCGACACCCCCCCAAAAAAGTGGGCGAAAAACGGAAGCCTTGGGCAGCTTTCGAGCGGGGAGGGGGTTTAAACTGGAAGTGGCTTGACACTGGAGGAGCGATCACACGGGGAAAATGTGGCTTTAAGCCGGAAACCAACGGCTGGGGACAGGAGGCAGATGTTGACTGTGTGATCATGCATATAAAATTGGTTGCTGAACTGTCACAACGCATCTGAATGTCTCAATAAACTTTACTTCTTTGAATGAAAGCTGTTGGGAACTGATTGCTGCAGGAGTTCTGACACTGTGGCTCTTCTGAGCACCAATGTGACATCTACCCCATGTTTTAGGAAAGTGGGCAAAGCAGCTTGCAAAGAGAAAACTTAGCATGGATAGAAGAAGAGAGAAGAGGAGATTGGATTTATACTCCGCCCTTCACTCAGAGTCTCAGAGCAGCTTACAATCTCCTTCCCTTCCTCTCCCTACAACAGATACCCTGTGAGGTAGGTGGGGCTGAAAGAGCTCTTTCAAGAGCTGCTCTGAGAGAACTGTGTCTTGCCCAAGGTCACCCAGCAGTTGCTTGTGGAGGAGTGGGGAATCAAACCCGTGCTCCTAACCACTACACCAAAATAGATAGCATGCGGGTCCTAATCACTCTGTCTCCTGAAATGCTGGAGTTCAACTTGAAGGGAACTTCTAAGATAAGGGAAGGCATGTATACTTTAACCACCAGAATAAATAGTTTTGGAAATGACTTACAGAATGAAATATACAATGGAGATGGGCAGGGGAAGAGGGGAAAAAAGGCTTCTGAATACAGATAGATACAAACGCACATGTACAGTTTTTCTTGGGGCTCCCCAAGAACAGACAAAACTCCAAAGCTGTATACGATAAAATGCTGGTCCAGTGGCCAAACAACATGGGGGGAGAAAAACGTGATGAGGGGAGACAAACCTTAAGTGCTGTTGATTTTTTAACGAATTGAAGGTCAGCATCAGAATCCTCAGAGGAGGAAAATGCCGGCCTCCGTTTGGTGGCTTTCTTGGCCCTGGCAACTGCAGGCTTCTTGGAGGCTGTTTTATCTGTACCCGACTCTGAACTTACAGCCGCTCCAGACTTCCTGGGTTTCACATTTGCCTCTTCCTTAGCGAAAGCATCCACAATGGTAGGCTGGTTCTCTAATGGCAAGAGAGCTGGGTCAGATGTCTGCCCTCTGTAGTTTTCTAAGCAAGACATTGCACCTACCATAGAAATCCTTCTGAAGCCACTTGTTCCTAAATCAATTCTGGGGAGTGTCAGGACAGCATTCACAACACCGAGTTCTGCATTACAAATACTCCCAACTAAAGAATATCTTACAAGAGGTGGCAGAGGATTTTGTGGGAGAGAACACCAAGGTTGTTTAGAGAGAGATACTATTCTTCAGATTTCTGTCAAGTAGCAGCCATAATTACAGTGGGCATTTATTTTAAGTAGTTTTGGGCTACTGAGCAGTATGCAGAAGTGGCACAAAATAGTTACTTTCATTAGTGATAGACCTGAAACCAGAATAACTTTCCTGCAAGATGCAATTGCCCAGAAAAGTCATGCCCACAAAACCCTAGTAACTGTTGAATAAAAAGCATCTGTCCACTTTCTCCAAAGTGAACTAATCAACTGCAATATAATTCGTCTATGAACATTGAAGGTTCCTATTAGATGTAACCCTTTATTTTTCAGATAGAAAGTTTCTAGCCTGTAGTTACACATTTAACGGGGAAAGCAGTAACTACAAGATCACCTCTGAACATGCAGACTTCGGCAACAATCTTACCTTCAGCAGTGCTTCTTGCTTTCTTGGCTGGACCCCTTTTCCTAGGTGCCAATTTCCCTCCTGGGCCAATAGGAGGCAAGGAAGAGGCTGATGCATCTGGCTTATCATCAGAGTCTGGGATTTCGGCTTGAGTAAAGAAAAGACTCCAGTAAACTAAAAAGTTCTAAATATTTTGAATTCTGAGCTCCACTTTAAACTATGGAATCAGATCAAGCCAAGCAATTTCATACAACATTGCATAATGTTTGCAATGAACATGGAAAGAGTTATCGTTCTTTAATCCTGAATTCAGGCAAGAGGTGGTGGTGATTGTTGGAACAGGCAATGTCTGGTGTACAAAGAAGAGAGAAGTAAACCCTGCAGGGGGCAGCAAGATGTAAGGTCATCTCCACTGTGCCAAGGGTGTGGGAAGGTCCTTGCTCCCTTGTTGTTGTCCCTGGAGAAGGTGTGCAAAGCAGAGCCGTTTAAGTGAGTTTTGGGTCCGGCTAATCTAGTCATTTACTAGGATTTTGAATTACCTCTTTGTTTATTTGATTTACCTCCTTATAGGATTTTTATTATAGATCTGTGGACCAATTTGAGTCCTTTCTGAAGAACATGCTGGATATATGTTCTTAAGTAAATAAGGGGAAAAGGTGTTTTTTAATTTTTTTTTAAAAAGCACATGCAAAACTCCCTTCTGAAATACCTTGAACACATGGTGATCTTACCACAAAAAGATGGCTATGGAGACCCAAGTTATCACTGAAAGTAAGCAAGAATGCATCGCTTTTTCTCTTGGTACCATGGACTAGCTGAGAGGCTTGTTACCCCAATATACCCCCATACACGTCACTGCCCCACTAGGAACCACAGGTTGGGATGCCCCTAGATTCTCAGGCCTTGCGCCACCAGAGGCTGAAGAGAATCCACCTTTAATATCAAGCCAAAGAATTGTGTGATAAGACGGGATTGCGAAAGGAAGTAGTCTCCCATGAGAACTCATGATTCTTCGAGGCCCCTACACATGGGCCATGATTAGCAACTGATGCTCACAGGACAATGACCCTGTCTTCCGGGCCGCTCAAAAGTATCTCTCACTTTGTAAAGTTTCTCTTATCAAACGCTCAAGCAGGCAAGAGGGCCTCATCTCCTGACCCATCATCTCCTGATCCCCAGGCCAAACACTGGTCCTCCCAAGCCCTCCCATTTCGAGTTGGTTTTCAGCATTGAACCTCCTTCCACAACCAGCATGAGCTGATGGAATCCCTCTTCATTTAGGCAGAATATGATATAGTTTTTCTTACTGTCTTCTTTCTGGAAAGAATACCTCAACACCCTACCACCTCCTCCACTCTTCTCAGCTCTGACATCCTGCCTTACCTTCAGCTGGCTGGCCCAACAGTCCTCTGGCTTCCCAGGTCTCACTCCTCCTCTTCTGCTCCGACCCCCCCCCCACACCTGCCCTCCATATTTTTGCATCCCCCCTCAACTCATAAGTGTTTTTTTCTTTGACTAGCCACACAGGAAGAACACGTTTATTTTAGATGAAAATTAATTCTTATTGGACACTAGGACTAAGTTAACACTTTCATTAGGCTGCCGTGAGTAAATTGTTACTGCCTGTTAGCTGCTGAGAAGCACCATCTGTGCTTACTGCTTCAGACTGATCAGCGCTTGAAAGTTAGTCTTCCTTTTCTTTCACTGTTCTGTAGCTCAGTTACATTCTGTTTAAGGATTTGTCTCCCTCCTTTTTCTTTTCTGGAGCTGTACCAAAGCCATGTCACACATGTGCATATAAAGACTTAAAGGTCTCCCTTGGAGCCAGTGTCAGAGTTACACATGTAGCATGTCTTTTAAATGCATACCCTGATCTTTGTTTGGTAACAGATCACAGAAAGTGCCCAAATCCAGGGAATTACTCTTAGTCACTCAATTCAAAGCTAATGGGACCAGGCAGAAATCTCATTTTGGCAGACTGAACCAGGATGATATGCTTACTTGGGATGGAACTCTGGACTTTGGTCACTTGTGTTTGTTGTTTTTTTGCTTGCTTTTCCATGGCTTTCCTGGAACACAGATTCAGCAACATATTTAATCACTATTCTCCCCCCACTCATCCCCATTTTATGCATCAAACAAAAAAACCCCATTAGGATTAGTTATAATACAATAGGTGAACATTGGATCACTGTGGAACATTTGGACAGAAAGAACTGGCTTTTCTATAGACACTAAAGGGAAGATACTGATGACTGCTATACAATGCTAGTTGGGACATTGGGATAACCCAGCATCACAGCATTGAGTATACTTAAATAATAAAAAAAAGGTGGGAAAATAATCATTATCAGGACCAACCCATATTTGCAGAGAAGTGTACAAGATTCACAGTTCCACAGAATTCTTCATCATATAACAGTGAGGAGAAAAACACCTGTTTCTGGATAGGCCACCAGCAGCTCTGACACAGAAGACATCTTTTTATCCTTTTGATTTTTCTTATGTACCCTACGACTTGATGATAATTCTGTGCAACAAAGATTCTTGTACGCTGCTTTGTAAATACTGGTTGGACCTCAGGAAAAAAATATTGTTTTCTGGCTGTGTGACTTTTTCTAATGGGCGAAAACAACAACTCCTTTTTGTATACTCAAGACACGCACTTGGAAGCGACCTTCAGCTTCGCAGCAGGACTCTTCAGATTTTTTTTAGCAACAGCATCCTCGTCTGTCTCCTCCTGAGCTTCAGAGTCACTATCCCTATTATCCTCTTCTGATTCTGAATCAGACCACGGGTTTCTTTTAGCTTTTTTTACTGGCTTGAATGGCAGAACAGACTGTTTTTTTGTACCTGGAAATAAAAGACATTTAGATCTGAATATAAGCAGGGGAAAAACATGAGAAGGATTAGACATAGTGTATGTATTTCACCTTCTTGTGTCCTTTGCAAGTATTACAGGACATACCAATTCCCTTTCAACAAACTAAAACCGGGTCCTAAGACAATGGCAAAGAAAATTAAAGACTCCTGTGAAAAGACCTTACCTGTCTCTACTTTAATTTTCTTTGCTAATCTTTGTTTAAGAGCTCCTGGTTCTTTATCAGACTCTGGTGACTCTCCTTGATCCCCAACAAGGTCAGGTTTTTCAGTCTAAAAACGGTAAGCAAAGGAGGAGAACAGTGATCTTCAGAGCAGGTGAAAGGATGAAAGAGAAGAACCAAGACAGCAAAAGAGACTTCCCGTGGTTCATTCACCTTAACAAGACTGCTTCGATAAATGAGCTCCCTTTGCTACATTGCTCACTTGTTGTTGTGTTCCTGTAATATTTTTGTTCAAGCGGAACTATATCACCCACTCCATTACATTCTGCAGCCCAACACTTCACATCATACCTTGATTTTCCTTTTTAATTTCTTCGTTGCATCCATTTTCATCTCCTCAGTCACGCGGGGAACAACCCTCCGGCCATGTGGTGAAGGCATGACTTCTGTTAATTGCAGTTTCTTTACTTTCAGCTTCCCTCCTTTCCCTTTGATGGGCCTGCCTGCAGCCCCCAGCATCTCGTCCTCTTTTTCCTTGGCTTCTAGTTCCTAAAGAGGATGACAGATATGAAGCAGATCAAGATGGGTAGTTGTATTAGTCTGTCTGTAGCAGTAGAAAAGAGTAAAAGTCCAGTAGAACCTAAAAGGCTAACAAAATTTGTGAGTATTGATTCACGACAGCTCATACTCTACCACAAATTTTGTTAGTCTTTAAGGTGCTACTGGGCTCTTATCTACAAATAGGAAGCAATAATTGTAAGCTGAAGTACAAAAAAAGGCATTTAAGTGTCTACGTTGTGGCTTATTATAGCTAAAAAAACTTTTATCCTGCCTACCCCAATCTATGAATTCTCAAGGCAGTTTGCAGCAGTTAAACACACAAAACAACATGCGATATCAGCAAACAGAGTTGCACTCTCCTTCATGTACATTTAAGTTAACAGGAGAGGCACCAGCACCCATGAACAGAAGATGATTTCATGTACCAGCAAAGGCCTGTAGAAACAACCATGAAACATTTTCACCAAGCAACAGTGTAAGCTTCAGGCATACCGACACAGGGAGAAAGCTCCACTCATCACTCTGGCTCATTGGTCTCCCGAGGCAGTGCCCCAGAATTAGCTTGGCTGTGATCAGACCACTCTGCCAGGAAGAGCTGCTGCTGCAGATGAGCTGAAGTTGGTTAAAGAAGATCTGTGCCACGGACAACGTCCTGGGGATAGACCGGTTGCACAGGATCTAACGCTGCTTCCACGCTCCGAGCCAGGCCCTTTGAGGAGAACACAACCCCCCTTACAAGACCAAGCCAGCTGTGAATTCTTGTAGGTTGAGTACCATGTATATAATTTTTGATTGGCGATTCCCTCACTTGTGAAATGATGTAAATTCTGTGAAATTGTTTGGAGTTGACATTTTTCAGTGCTCTAAGCTATTATGTAACTAGTACAGAGAATAGATTTCCATTATTAAATTCAAGATATCTGTTGCTGTAAAACCTGAGGAAGAATTTGTGAAATGGGATTTTTACTGGTCCCTGTAGTATTTAAAGTTTCAGGTTGTCTCAGCGTTCTTTGAAGTTCTTTGTCAAGCCTCAGCTTATTTCAGCATCTTCTGAGTTTTTGTACATGATTTAAGAAATACTGCTATTTTAAGCTTGGCGTTGCACAAACCCACCACCCATATGAGCACCTTGCTCCCCGAAGAGGATATCTACAACAGGGAGATAGTTCTTATCATTTGAATCCAGAGAGAGCACTCTGTGTAGCTAAAGGCATTCCCTCCCTTAAAAGAGAATTAGCTGTCATTTGAACCAGAGCTTCCCTGCCCTGTTAATGGAACATGCCAAGAGGGGCATTAGTTGAGCATGCAAACAGGACTTAACTCCAAAACTGTCAACATCTTCAGGTAACAGCAACTGACATTTGCATCCTCCTGGACAGAATCAAGACCTAGGTTTCCTGTCTCATTACCAATGCTGATTTCTCCATACCTACTACCCCTCTGCATATCATACCTGCTGTCATTCACCTGCTATTGTAATTCGGCACCTGACATTGCCCCACTTTCCAAGATATAAGGACAGATGGACTCACAATCTAGCTGTATCTGAAGAAGTGAGCAGCTACTCATGAAAGCTCATATCCTGCCATAATTTTTTGTTAGTCTTCAAGGTGGTACTGGACTCTTGCTCTTTTCAACTGCTACAAACACAGCTACCCATCTTGAAATTTGTCAAAGTTCCAACTACGAGATGGGCCTTGCTGACATCCTGTACGGCAAAACTGGCAGTGTCTTAAGGACCAAATGGATCTGAGCAATTTTATTTGGGAAAAGCCTTGCATATAAAACCTGTTCCCATGCTCTCCTGTCAGACTTTTCTGGTTCAGAACACATTGAAGCCTTTCACCCCAGTCAGTTCTCTCCAGTCTTTCTTCCAAAGCTTTGGGCCCAATGGAGCCACAAGAACCCTGTTCTGAACATGCACAAACACACTCTGCCCAACCTAAGGATAGTTAGCAGGATCCCATCAACACAAGGTCCACATTAATCAACTGCCTAGAAGAAACCCAGAATCTTCCCCAACCACATACTTCAAGAGCCTCCACAAAGGCAGCAAGGTCTTCTTTCCATAAATCATCAGGATTCTTCCGTTTCAGATTTTTCAGCTCGACTTCCTAACAAAAGGACCAATGAGAAACAGTTAAGTGTACATCCAAGAGCCTTCAGTCCCAGCTCCTGTCAAAGCTTTTGCCAAACAGCTACTTCACCTACTTTGTCATCCCGCTGCTTGCACAGTTCATCCTTTTTCTCCTTTGTTAGATACCAGAGAGGCATGTTCAGGAGGTAGTTGAAATCTGGCCCAGTGCCTGCTGTTGATTCATTTTCCTTACCACTTTCTTCATCATCTTCTTTCTCCTCATTTGTATCCTGGGGGGGGGGTGTGTGGAGAAAATGAGGCCATTTATTACTATTTTCCCCAGCCCAGGAAAGCAGAGGGATACAGCAGATTCCTGCACTCTTTGGGCCCAGAGGTGAGGAAAAGCAGTCACTAACACTACTACTTTATTAGCTGTGCATGTAGCAACTGGACAGATCTCTCTTAAAATAGTTAAAATGAGATTCATAACATTATCCCACGCTGTAGGATCTGTCAGGGCAGTGGGAATGGCCAGTTATAGGGCTGGACCTGGAGTGTGAGCTCTCACTGCTAAACGGAAGAATCCTCTAAAATGTTGCCTCCAATCCAGAAAACTGCTGGTAGGCCAAGTGACCAATTAAGTTCTGCACCCTCAACAGCGAGCTTACTAATATTTCCCATGATATCCCAAGCTCTCCTCCCACCTCCAAGCATGTTTATTACAGGTAACAGAGTTTGAGACTTTTAAGAAGCAGAAATAGTTAGCAGTTCAGCTAGTTACAGAAGCTGAGATCTTCAGTACCTTTTGTTGGGACTCTTTCCAGCTCTTCAATGGATCAGACTCATAACCCCTCTCAATAAGCACCTTTATTATTTCTTTCTTGGGCTTGTTTTCTAGGAACAAAGGCATTTTTAGATCACTGTGTGGAACGAATCTGCATGAACAAGGTCACACAATGTATGTTAGAGGAGCCAAAATCAAAGCAAATATCAATATAATAAGGACAGAGAATTAGGGACAAGCTTGACAACCAACCCACATTCTGTGAACAGAAAAGAAAAATCCTATAGGTTTTGTCTAGATTGGATGAGGCTGAGGGTTTAACCTGATCTGTGAAATCCTGTTTATAGTGGAGAGCTTGAATGACTTTGGGTAAAAGTCTGGTAGTGTTCTGCCTGGAATAAAGTGGAAGCTTCATGGGTGGGGCTGTCCTCCAATGACCATTCCCCTTCTTCTTTGTCAGAGGCTACCCACTCCGTTCTCATGATTCAAAGGCCCTCCTACAGTGGGCCCTTCCGTTAGCCACTGGCCTGGGCTTCTGGAGAGGAACCTGAGGATTCACTGGCGACTGGACAGGGAACTTAGCACCTTTCCTGCACCTGCCAGGACATCTTTTTGATCTATAGGAAGCTTCCTGAGAAGAGGAAGAATCTGAAAGGCATATTGGTCACTATGGCACCTCTGACAGGGCCTGCTCTCCTGCTTTTTCCCTTTGCAAAGTGCCTGTGGCTGGTGCTTAGAAAAGGTAAGTAACCCACATACAACGGAAGCAGTGGCATCCCCCCTGCGCTGGAAGGCAGCCTTGGCTGCTTCGAGCCACCTACAAAGGGGGTGGGTGGGGTGGGTCTGGCATCCTAGCCATACGACAGGGGAGTCTAACTCTACCAATAGAGAAGCAGCGGCTGTTTCTGAGACTGCTTGTGTGTCCATCTCAGCTGAGACTTCAGAGGGAGAGCTCCGGGCAATTAGTCAGAGACTATCGTAGCTGATTGCCACAACCCCATGCCTGGGTTGGGATGGAGCAGTTCTGGAGAGGTGAGTGGCAAAGAACCAGCCCTCAGAGGGGCCTTGGCCTTTTTTCTCTTGGTTGCAGCTGCAGAAAACCAAGGCTGCTGAGACAGTTGAAGATTTTTTAAAATGCCTTTGGTGTAGTTAACGGCTGGAAGAAACTAGCCCAAATGGCCACAGTAAACTAGGTTCTCTCTGTCTCTCACTTGTTTTTCTGGCCTGTAAAATGGAGCTGGCTAAGTGAGTCTTGCCTGCAGCAGGCAGGGCATCCTGACTGGGAAAGGTCCACCTCCCAGTGGTCCTCTTAGAGATCAGGTTAATTTGCATAAATCCTGCCCAGGAGTGAGTAGGAGGCATAAACCAAAGGAGGACAACCCCCCCTCCCTGAAGAGTTGTGCACGTTTCTTCTTTCCGTGTCTCGCTTTTAAAAGAGGCAGAAAGCTAATGGGTGCTATATGGAGTCTGCCCATCTCGCCTGAAAGGAAGGTACCATTCCCTTTTCTAATTGCCTTCAAGGAAAGAAATGAAACTTTGCTCCGAAACATTACTCACACTAAACTTTGGCTTACCAATCACTATTATGCCACCTATTTTCTCCAGGATGAAGCGAGCCTGATTGCTTAGCTTTGCGGACTCTGCGCCCAGCAGACCAGCGAGCCAGTCTTTTCTTAAGCCATAGTAGCGCAGCCTGAGCTCATAGAACTCTCGCAAAATATCTTCTGCAGTCTCATACTTCTTCAGGCAGCCAACATGGTCAAAGAGTACCTGCACAAGCACAATATGCCAGACATTTAGAACTGAGAGCTCACAAATGCGTCTTGCAGTGTGGCATCTTCATGCATTTGATCAAGCAAAAAGATCTTCATCACAGCTATAAGCTGCCCTGTGGGTGGCTGTTGTCAAAGGGGCCACCTGGGAGAAAATACTTGATTTCTTTGCTCTTCCGGTCCATTTTTCAAAAGTTTGTGAGCCTGTTAATTAAATGATCTACTTCCCTGGCGCCAGTACAGACCTTCTCTGAGTGGTCAGCCACAGAAGTAATTTACACTGTGGAAAAGAGTTGGCTTGTTTCCTTTAGGGCTGCCATTATGCCAACCAAACCAAAGTTGAGAAATGTGTTGGAAATAGCCAGAGGGCCGAAACAGTCTACAGGCAAGCACCATTACCAATGGCTGACGGGCCTAACTGCCAACGGCAGACAGACGCGCCGATACAACAGTCTCGACTACCAACTATTCCCCTGAAGAGAAGAGAGCCAGGTTCTATGGCATGGTATACACCACCGTATGAAGAGGAAACTCTTATTTTAAAAAACGGAAGGGAGACTATTCTGTGGTACAATGTTCGCAGGAGTCTGGATTGTGGGATTCCCCCAGGCAGAAAATACAGTACTTATGACCGTCCGGAGGAGCCAATTTACTCCCGCAGCCTCTGCAACGATTAAAAAATCCCCACTTTTTCTTCTTTCCAGTCATTTTCTCCATAGACTGAGAGACGTTGAAAAGTCTAACCGGCAAGAAGGGTGGTGTGGGGGGGGGGGCAATGGCCCGAAGGCCTGAGGTAAATTTACCTCAGATGACAAAAAACAAAAATTCTCCTCTTTTTTTTTTAAACGACAAGAGGAAAGGAAACTGAGAGAAAAAAACAAGAGCCAATCGCTAAAAAGCGACGAAAACAGCGATCCGACCAGACCGATCGAAGAAAGGGTCTGCTCAGCGCGGCGGTAAGGAAAGAACTGGCGGGATGTCTGCGCCCGTCCCTCTGGGCATGTGCAGTGGAGCTCCTGCGCATGCCCGGAGGGGCTAGGTGCGAAAATCCATTAAAAGAGCTTGCTACAGCACCGGCGCAGGCGCACTAGATCCCATTGGTGTGAAGCAGAGACCACGAAGATCAGCACCTTCTCTTCTCTTAAGTGTCATTCCATGTCTTTCTCCAGATTTCTACTCTTAGGTCAATTTCTTCCTTCTTCTACGAACCTCTCTCTGTCTTTCTTCATTCCTATCGTATGTTAGTTCCTAAATAAACCTTTATCTACTCTTTAATCAGGTTGTGCACCATTGCTGTGTTAATTACTCTGCCAACAAAATGTGCAGGCAAATAAGTAGCCCATGGACAGTGCACGGTTGGCACAAACTGTTGAAATCATAAGGAGCAGGATGGAATAAAAATCTTTAATTAAGAAACAGGCACCATGCAACTGTTTGCTTTTACAAGGATGCAAACTCTAAATTGATCGTGCTGGTCATGAATTGTATTAATAAAGTACTTCACACTCTAAATCAATTGGTGTAACTATCTAAAGTTATTTGCAGTAGGAGTAAGACTCTGTAACTTTGCCACAAACTCTATACACAAGTGTCCGCTCTGCCGTCTATTCTCTGGGCCTGAAGAAGAAAATAGAAGATTTTTCTTTCAAGTTACATTGAAATAGTTCGCCTGAAGCTTTTTTCTTCTGCAATGCTTGCTCTGTATGTGCTTGCTTGGAAACAAACCCCAGTGAGGTCAAATAAGCTGACTATTGAGAAAAATTGAATAAGGATCAATGCTTGAAGATGACACTATACATTCTAATCCAGAAGGACACAGATGGAATGTGCATGCACCTTTTTAAAGTTTATGGAAATACAGCATTAGACAAGCAGAATGAGTAGACATTCTCCAATGGGGCATCAAGTACATAAAGCTCAAACATCCCTTCAACCAGTTACAAAAACAGATTAATAACAGCAAGTCATCCCTTTTCTTGAATTCACTGGAAAATCTAAGTAGCATATCCACAAAAGGTCTTTGAAATACAGCTCCATCCTGGTTTATTAAGTAGTCAAATCTAGAGTATTTCATATATTTCACTAACCACTCAAATTTTATGGTGCGATTACATAAATGCTCACTGATCTCCTTATGACTAATTCTGGTACACCACTGGTTATTGTAGTCATTTGTATTTTCCTTTAGTGTTAATTAACTGTTTTATTAATGTTCTTTACATGTTATTACTGTTATCCATAAGTACCGCTAAATAAATAGGGTTGAAGTTTTAGATGGTGTCAGATTTAACTAACTTTGGATTCAGACTGGGAGAAAATAACCATAAATCTGAACAAAGAATGCATATAGTTTAGTTGCATGGAGACTACCACCAAAATACCAAAGACAAAAGCTCAAAAATGACATTTCAAAGCATTTTATCGGAAGAAAAAAATGAACTCAAACAACGCTTTAAGGAACAAAATTTCATTCTGTTTTGAAATAGGATTACACCAGCCCTCCTAGGGGAAGCATTGCGGGAAGCCATCAAAAGGGGGGGGGGGTAGGAGATAAAAAGAAATGGATTTGTTGGTTGTATGTTAAATGTTGAACATGTTAATCCAAAATAAAAAATTTTTGAAGAAAAAAAAAAAGGATTACGCCAGCCCTCCTTGTGGCTGCGCAAGGGAGAATGCTTCTGCCGCTTACCATGTTGGTGCAGGAAAGAGAGGTCTGTAGCTTGAAGACTTTATGGAGACCGGCTGCTTCTGCCTCAGCCAGCTTTTGTTCACTCATTTTTACTATGAATTTGACTGTGGTGTCTGTGTGGTATTCTTTGTAGTCAGTTATTAATGGGGGAGATTTTTCTGTGCCACCCAGCATAGGCTCCAGAACCTGTTCCTTGTGCACCTGGGGGGGGGGGGGGGGGAGAGGAGAGAAAAATCACCATATTGCATATCAGAGGCCCTGGAACGTATGAATCTAAACTGTTTCAAGATCATAATGTGAAAATCAGAACATCGTCATACCTGGGTCCATGTCCGAACAGGAAGCTCAGAAATTTCAATGGTAGTGGAATCAAGAATAGATACTTCTCCATTGACTAGGTACTGTTTCTCACCCAGTTCATCTATTGTTCCTTTGAAATTCTTGTAACTAGGATGCTTAAACACAAACATTTTTAACCTGAGTAAAGCAAGCTAAAGCAAAAACTGCAGGTAAGTTAGCACAATGTGATCTCACTCCAAATTCAGCAAGAGTCCTAGACCCTTGACATTTTGGCCACAGATTAGAGCAGAATTCCCAAAGTGGCAGCTGCCAAACTTTTCGATAAGTGGACACAACCATTGTAAGGCTAGGCTTGTTATTGGCTGCCCTGATTCAAAGGAACATTGCTCCCATTAACTGCAACAGCAGCCACAGTTGATGGAGGATCAGAAAAACTTGTAAGCATCCAGACTTGTAGTTCCATCCCCCCTGCAGACTTCCTTCTTTTTATTCGCCCTCCCCCCACGGCTCTTCTTCATTTCTTTTTATTTCCTTTCTTTTGCAAAGTGGTGGTGGTGGGGAGGTATTGTGTTTGGCTCTGCTTCCTACGGCAGCCATTTTGGGGCAGCATTCACTACCCACTCTCAAAAATACTCTCATGCTCAAACAGGGCGGGGACCCCTGAATTAGAGATAGAAGTGAGTGACATAAAAGAAAGATTGTTTAGGATCTGTAGAGGTGATGGGGACAGCAGTGGGGCTTCATGGTGGACAGGTTATCACCAACCACATTTTGAGTCTCCAGATCTGCATGCCACTTAAAATATCTTCATGGGGATTAAACATTCATGGCTTACTTTTTTGAAATGGAAGAAGGGGAGAAAGTCATAAAAGCTCCCTCATTGCCCCCCTACCCATTTATTTTACTTTCCCCGTTATCTGTCCTTTTGGCAAGGGTTGATTATTGCTTTTTTCATTACCATCGGCAGAGGCTCCTCTCCATCCAACATGCGGCGAAGGTTGTTCACCACTTCTCGGACATCGTAGTTGGGAACTTTGCACGACCACCCTGTCCCAATACCCTCAGCTCCATTGATTAGAACCATGGGGAGGATTGGGATGTACCACTCGGGTTCTACACGGCGGTTGTCATCGTACAGGAAGTTCAGCACGTTGTCATCCACTGGTGGGAAAACCAACCGTGCTAAAGTGCTAGAAAAGAATGTGGTTTGCACTTAGGTTCAGTTTTTATTGCCTTTGGCCATAGGCCATTACAATGACAAAATGAGATATAAACGACTAAACCAGAAAAATAAAAATCTAATACAGAATAAAACATCTTAATAATTCCAACTCTTCCATCCTGGTCTCCGTTATTAATCGAGCTATGGTGCTGCTACTATTTTTTTTTCTGAATGTTCTCTGCAGCAAGGGTAAAGGGGGCCACCTTGTGTGAAATCTTGGTTTCTACGTCTGCTAGTAAAACTAGAATTTTTTCTGTTTCTGTTCTAGTGCCTGGGGTGGCCAAAACTGGGCCTAGAGATTGGTAAAGTGGTCAGAATAACAGGTAGTGGCACAGGTCCTCTAGCACTGAGCCTCAGCACGGGCAGAAATGCTGGGCAGCAGGAGTGTTAGTATAGCGGCCTTCAAGCATTGCTGATTGCATTGATTGAAAGCAGATTGAAGCTAGTGCAGAGCGTAATTCATTAAATGAGATCTTGCTTAAGTATTGGGCCCTTTGATGGTCTGATTTGATTAGTCTGTACCAGGGTGAGGATTTATTCTCTTGGATGACTCGCCAATCTTGGGCAGTGTCCTGGGTATATATTTGTTCCCTGCCATTAAAGTCGGTTCGAAGGTGCCCGTGGATTACATCCGGAAGGTTATAGTTTTGCAATATGCTATTGTATTTGGATAGCCATTTACGGTCTTTTTGGCAAGCAAGGAAGCAACTGCTTGAAAGGTGATCAGTAGGTGCTATCCTCAATTTGTGCCAATAGTTATAAAGAGCTTTATGGGCACGGGCCCGTAGAGAGGGAAGGCCCAATTCTGCTCTTAACAATGCTGCTGGGGTGCTTGCTGGAACTGTTAGCAGCCTTTTCATAAAAAGGTTTTGGATTCTCTCCAGGCTGGCGATGGTGGAATCGTTCCAGCCCCACACCTCGACACCATAAAGAAGTTGGGCAGTTGTCTTGCTCTGGAAGAGTTTAAGAGCTGAGTCTATCAGAAAGCCCCCTTTTGTGTGGTAAAATTTTTAAATTGCCCCTAATGAGCGGAGAGTTGTTACTTTTGTAAGGCTAAAAACTATTGACCGATATCATTGTTAAACGTCGATTATAAGATCTTTGCTTCTGTTCTGGCAGTCCGGATGAGAAAGGTGCTTACACAATTAATCCACCAAGATCAGGCAGGCTTTTTGCCTAAAAGGCAAATGCGTAAAAATGTGAGGATAATTATGAATATTTTAGAGTACTGCGAAGCAAGGTATGATAAGCAATTGGCAATAATATTTTAGACGCTGAAAAGATTGTGGGGAACCATTTATTAATATGATAGAGGCGATATATAAGTATCAAGTTGCCAGAATTCTCATAAATGGAGATATGACTAAGGAAATCGAGATTTGTAAAAGTACTCGTCAAGGCTGTCCCCTATCGCCACTATTATTCATTTTTACTATTGAAGGGCTGTGTGAAGCTATAAGGAATGATAGTCAAATTGTTGGAGTTAAAACCAGAGGGCAGGAATACAAAATCCAAGCATACGCGGATGACCTGGCGGTTATTCTACAAGACCCATGCAGATCGATAATTAGACTTCTAAAGGTTCTCGATGAGTTTGGTCAATTGGTGGGCTTTAAGGTTAACTCTACTAAAACAAAGTTATTGACCAAAAACTGTAATGATAAACAGATTCAGGATCTACAAAGAATCTCAGGGTTTGAAGTAAAAAAAAATTAAACATCTAGGTATTAAACATCTAGGTAGGCTGAGCTCACTTATACCGGACAATTATGATATACTATTAGCTAATATTAAAAAGAAAAACAGGTTGCTTACCAGTAACTGGTGATCTTCGAGTGGTCATCTGTGCATTCACACCAATGGGATCTAGTGCGCCTGCGCTGGATCGATCGGTGCTGTAGCAAGCTCTTTTCAATGGATTTTCGCACCCATTCCCTCAGGCAAGCGCAGGAACCCCACTGCGCATGCCCAGAGGGGTGGGCGCAGACATCCCACCAGTTCCTATAAACCGCCGCATATCAACTCCTAATTGAAGAGGTAGAAGCTGACAGCAGCGGGGAAGGAGGGCGGGTGGTGTGAATGTACAGATGATCACTCGAAGATCACCAGTTACTGGTAAGCAACCTGTTTATCTTCTTCGTGGTCTCTGTGCTTCACACCAATGGGAGATTAGCGAGCAGTAGCCTACCTGGAGGCGGGTGCTGTCAGGTGTTTACTGCTTAGCCGAGGCCAAAACCTGACGTCCCAGACTGTCACTGGTGGACTGGCGGACGTCTA